TTTTTTTTTTCTGAGGCCATTTTGATTTTTTTCAGAGCACCTTCTCTAGTTCAGCTTACATTCCTGTTCAGAAGCATTGAGTTGTAAAGTTTTGCTGTAATGGAGGTAAGTGTGATTCCTCTAGAATTTTTTGCCAATCCTAGATTTCTTCGGGAAAGGAAGTATGCAGCCATCTTTCTATGACTTCTCTATTATATGTGTCATTACAGAGTTGAAGTAGAATATGGTTGAAATTTGCAGGACACTGCTGGTGAGAAAAACAAGAACTACGACTACTCTTGAAACCTAAGACAGATTGGTCTCCCAGCAGTCATCTACATTGACCAGGTGTGTTATGACACAGAATGCCACCCTAATAACCTTCTGACCTTGATGCAGGACCATGATAGTTTGTATGATGGACTCATAAATGTCCGAGCTAGCTTGATCAAATACTTTAGCAGTCAAAATTATTCAAGCTGAATGACTGTACTGTCTTAGCAATAAGACAATGCATTGCACAAACTGAAAATTTTTACACTTTCCAAATGCTAATGTCATTATCTATAAAAATATATATTCAATATTCAAATTTTTGAAGTTGAAAAATAGAGATTATATTATATAATACTGTATTTTTTCTAATCATTTCACTCCAAGCAAATGGAAATGCCAATATTATGCAAGGGGTTACATTGTTTGAAAGTGAGTGAAATTACTGAATATAGGGTTGATAGAGGAAAGGACAAAAGATGAATGGAGTTCAAGAGAACAGAAGATGGCAATGGGTGAGACTTAGATGCCAATCTAGTAGCAAGCTTAAATTCAATTATTTGTGGCACCAGGGAAAAAAAGCTTGTCAGAGCAGTTGCCATGAAAATATTTTTAGAAAAGGTAGAGGGAAGCCATGCCATGTTGGTGAGAAAGTGACTGAAGTTGCGATGAAATCAGAATCAATTACATTAAAGATCCTTCTTTGGATTTTGTCAAGGACCTCAAGATGAATAGCAGGAACACCAGACCAGAGATGCCAACAGTATTTCATGCATGAACAAATGATAAATTTGTACAAGATGGACTCTGACAAGAAAAAAAAAAATTGTGTATCTTTCACTTTTTATTTAAAAACCAGTTATGACTTCTACGAAACAAAATTTATATCCACCTAATAAATGAGATGAAGGACAAAAATTTAGTTTAATAGTTGAACAAGTTTGATTTCATGTGAAAGCAAAAAGTTTAAGTATTTGTTGGGATAGAAGGATGTATTGGAAAGATATTTCAGCATCAAGAACAGAATTTATTCCATTTTTCCAGAATTAAATGAAGCTAAATGATAAGGACTCCCTTATAATTTGGATACCCCAATGTTAAATCATATGAATAGTTTAATTAAGGGAATTATTGTTCTTAACTTCTAGTGGAAAATGATTCCTTTTATGAGAACAGATATAAGCCAAATGATAAAATGGAAGTGAGAGCATCAAAATGGAATAGTTGTCAGCATTTGCATTCAAACACTAAGATGTAAATTATTTTGTCTTCAGTAAAAAAAATGGTTAGATTATTCAAAATTACAAACATCTGTGATAACACATCAACATGCTTTTAACCCACTTGAATGATCCACTTCAATGCCTGCTGGCTATTTTAGAGGGCATGTTTTAAAAGAAGCCTTAAAAAAATAATTTTGATTTTTGTGTTGAATGCCTCAGTTGATAGTTAATATGTTGTTATCTGTTGAGGTGTAAAGTTGCCAAGGTCATGGTAAGAATGGACAAAGGAGAATTATGAAGGTAGTTATTTTTTTAAATTTTTTAAAGGTAGAAAGATATAAAGTAAATAGAAACTAAATATAATGGTGGCACCTATTCACTGTATTAACCTGAGCATGGAAAACATGCAATTTCAGAATGTTCCTCAAATCAAACCAAATGATTTCAGAAAATTAGAATGCAAAAATATGACTACATTTCTCTTGATCAGGAATACAAGCACATAGACATTTAAAATATGCAATTTGTGAATGATCCTCAAATCAGACCTGATGATTTCATAATGCACAAATATGCCTACATTTCATATGATCAGAAATACAGACAAACATTTAAAATATGCAATTTGTGAATGATCCTCAAATCAAACCTGATGATTTCATAATGATCTAGATTTCATATGATCAGAAATACAGACAAACATTTAAAATATGCAATTTGTGAATGATCCTCAAATCAAACCTGATGATTTCATAATGCAAAAATATGCCTAGATTTAATATGATCAGAAATACAGACAAACATTTAAAATATGCAATTTGTGAATGATCCTCAAATCAAACCTGATGATTTCATAATGCAAAAATATGCCTAGATTTAATATGATCAAATACAGACAAACATTTGGGAATGATCCTCAAATCAAAACTTGATGATTTTATAATGCAAAATATGCCTAGATTTCATATGATCAGAAATACAGACAAACATTTAAAATATGCAATTTGTGAATGATCCTCAAATCAAACCTGATGATTTCATAATGCAAAAATATGCCTAGATTTCATATGATCAGAAATACAGACAAACATTTAAAATATGTTATTTGGGAATGATCCTCATATCAAACTTGATGATTTTAGTATCTAAGAATGTAAAAATATGTAATATATATATTTATCATTAACACACGCAAACCTACATGTATGTGTTTATTTAAAGCTGAAGTTATTTACTATTGAATTCATACAGTGCAGAGTGATGCAATGATTTTAAGATGTGGTAGTTGATGCATAAAGCAATTGTTGGGTGCTTAAAAAATGCAATTATTTTTTCAACAGCAATATTCTGTTAGTATTAAGTTCTATCAAAACTCATGAGTTTCATTATCTTCTTCATCTTCTGAAGAAAGAAAGACCAGAAAAAGTTTTAACCATAATATTCACTTTCAAATTCTATGTGGTTAATAACACAAATAGTGAAGGTGATAGTATCTTCTTTGGCTATGCCTTGAGATACACGTGTACTGACATACAAGTTTTTGAGATACGAGTCAGAGTTTGGTCTATTTTTTCCTTGAGATACAACTTGAATTTTGAGATATGAATGAGCTTTAGTTAAGCATTCGCTAGTTGGCACATTGAGTGCCAAAATCCAAGAGTATTGCTGTACAGTTTGTTTTTTCTCTTTTATTTTATTGTTTGTAAATTACATTTCTTGTTTATTCACATAGTTTTGCTTGTAAGAAACCCACAAATAGGAGCAAGTTTTAAGAAAATACAGGTGTCTTTTAGGGGCCTGGAATGGATATAAGTGTTTTGAGTCATGAGCTCAATCTCAGAATGAATTTAAATATCTCAAGGCATTACTGTATATGTATGTGCATATATATTATATTAAACCACATGTATATTTATGTGTAAGGAAATAAGATTTGTTGACAAATAATTCAATATGATTTCATTATTGAGAAGAGTTTAAGCCACAGCATATTTACTAATGCCTATTTCATAGTGCATCTCTTGCTCTGAACTTGAGGCCAAATGTTGTTGTTCCACTGGGAGCAAAGATTTTAGTTTTGCTTTTAATATTTGGAATAAATTTAGCTTATTTAATTGATGTCAATATATTATTTTTTTTAATTTGTTTCTTACTGACTTGCCGTATTATTCTATATTTTCATTACAAAAACGATTTTTATATGTGAAATTCAATAAAAATAATTTTATTTAAGAAACAAGATCTTCTTACGTAAAAGTGAATTTAACATTTTTCACTTAAAGTTAATATCTCTCTATGAAATTTTTATTCATAAAAGCAAAGCACTAATGGTTTTTACATGATTTGTATTTCTATTTCAAACAAATGAAAAAAGTATATTAAATTTTTACCACATTTATTAAACTGAAATGTAACATTTTAATTTTATTGTATTTAAAGAAATAATTTATTAATCCGATTTTTTCTTTCTTATTAAAATTTTTACAAAGTCTCTCCCACAAAAAATTAATTTTTATGTTTTGTTTTAATTTTTTAACAAACTTTTCTTCCAAAGACCTTTTCCTCATATTTTTTACAGCAAAATTTATCTAAAAAATTTATTATTTGTTACATAAAATTAATTTAATATTTTTCCCTAATATTGTTATACATAAACAATATGTTAAAAATATATATAAAAACATAAAAGAGGATCAAATATGATATTTTATACAATAAAATTAATGAAAACTCATTTATTAATAATGTTGTTATATAAAGTTAATGTCATAATTAAATTCAATAAATTCAATTGTATATTTTTAGATATAGTAAACGAGGTGTACAAGGCATTAACCTTAACCCTGTTGGTAAATCATGCATTTATAAGAGTCATTTTTATTACTTCTATAATCATAAAAAGTATTTTTATGACAAATCAGCATACCAGTAGTTATTTTATTTCTAAAACAAGAGAACAAAAGGTTACTTTTATGTTTATTGTGTTTTGTGCTATTTTTCTTCTAGAATTCATTTCTACAATATGATTTTTGTTTAATTCAAACTATTTTAACATGGATAATTAATTCAAAGATTAAAATGAATATATCATTTTGTGCCCCCCCCCCCCACACTTAATGGTGTGGGAAGTGATGAATATGAAGATTCAGTAAAGTAAATTGTGATAAGACCTGAGTAAAGAAAAAATATATACCACAGTAAAGAGGATTAACTTTTGAAATGAAATTAATTATGCTTTTAATCTCTACTTTTTTCTTTGAATTTATTAAGCTGAGTATAACAGTGAACTACTGTAAGCCGAAACCAAAACTAAACGTCTTTCTCCCAACGGAATGATGAGATTTGATATAGGCTCCAAGTTCTGTGTAATAGATGTGCACTATGACATTGACTCTAGTAAAGTTCACCATGGTTTAAATCTAATGATCCTCAGATAATTTCATGAATATATGGTTGAAAATGTCAAAAGATTAATAATTAATACAGATAGATAAGAAAGGAAAAAAATTAAATGTTTTTACTTACATGACTTTTCAATACAAACTACTGTACGCTGTTGCAGGCCAGGTCCACATCCTGTTATCATAGAAGAAGGTTTACAGGGCCCATAATCCGATACAGTCCATTGATATCTACAGGAAAAAAAAGCAGAGAAAATATTTAAGAACTAATTCTTTATATCATCCATGAGCAGGATATATTAAACAAATATATAAAAACTTTTATTCACTCTTATTTTTATATACAAATCAAATTCTGATAGTGGAAAAAAAATGAAATAATAATAAGTCTTATTCTAGCACAAACTGCATTTGAACCTGGTGTACATAGGTAAGGTTTGGCTTATCATTTAACTGCCCACTTACATTACAGATACTTCATCATGTTCTCACAAATCTAAATATTTATATATTCATAGCTAAGCAGTACAAAATAGTTATCCCTACACATAGACAATGGAACACTGAACAATAAAAAATTATATTACTTTACTAAAGTCCCACCTATTACCAGACAAAAGAGAAGATGAAATATTCCAATATGGTGGATCACCTAGACATACATTGTGTGTAAGATAAAAATTTCTCACTGATGTATGGCACTACACTTATTCAGAAATATCTAAATTGTCTCCTTTTTCAAATAAAATGATTAAAGGCAGATTCAAGCAAAAGAAGCCTTTAACTCTTAGGAAAATGTCCATGCTTCTTTGAAACATAAACTACAAAGAACTGTAGCAAATAGCAGAAACAATATCATTGGAGGACTTTCAAAAGTAGCAACAACTAAAATGAATATCATATGTAACTTGAAGAGAAAATAATGACACAATCAAGATGTTGATGTTCCACACAACTTCCAACAAAAAGTTAGGATAGAAACCCTCATCAATACTAGAAAAAGTGATAACAGTGAGTGAACTTGAGTAATCTATCTTCTTGAAAAATTGTTTTAAGAGAAATATTTTCTGAATTTCAACTAAAAGTAGCACTGGCTGTTCTGTCAATGAATTCTAAAAGTTTCCTTACAAGGAAACAGTTAATATTACCTTTATCATTGATGACATCTGGTATTTCTGAATTTTTCTTAAGTTTCTCCTTTGGACACAACTCTTCATACCAACAATCTGTTTCAAGTACATACAATGATGCCTTTATAATTTGGTCAAAACAGTTGGAGGTGCAGCTACTACTGACTAAAATGATACCAAATCTTGCTAAAAGAAGAATAATGAATGAGAGTAGCAGTATCAAATTTCATTAGCAGTGCTACTTGGTCAGCAAATGCCAAATGTTTCCTTACAAGGAAATGGCTAATTTCACCATTACAATTTGTAAAGATTAAACAAATGCATTTTTTACCAAGATGGCTTCCTTATTTTGCTAACCCCTGTAATCATGTGGAAGTGTACATTGGCACTATTAATATCATATACTTATTTTAGTTCTGATATTTCAAGTGCTTTGAATTTCAAAAATATTTTCTATTCTGGTATGAAACTAATTATTATTTCAACATATTCTTTGACAATCAAATAATTTTCTTGATAGCCACCTGAGAAAGTTTTACTGAAATTGGCAGGGGATATCAGTTATCATCCCCCTACTTGAAGTTACCACACTACTAGTAGCCATGTGAATATCAAACCTGATCTATAGACATCATCAAGTGCTCTGACTAGCTTCAAAGGGACATCAAAATATTCAAACTGAGTTTGGAAAGATATTCTCAATTTTGTTGGCAGTGGGAAATGAGGAAAGAGAGAGAGAAAGAAAGGTTGGTTAAATAAAACACATGAAATAACTAACAAAGAATTGAACAGAGAGTCTCAAAAACATTCTTATTATCATTCTTATTATTCTTCTTATTCCCACTCTCTTCCTCCTCCACATCATCTTCTTATCTTGCTTCTCTTCTCCATCTACTTTTCCTTTTCTTCTTCTTCTTCTTATTATTATTCTTTTTCTTCTTATTATTATTATTCTTTTTATTATTCTTTTTCTTCTTATTCTTATTCTTCTTATTTTTATTATTCTTATTTTTTTTTCTTCTTCTTATTATTTTTCTTCTTATTATTATTATTTTTTTTCTTATTATCTTATTATTTTCTTATTTTTCTTATTATTTTTCTTATTATTTTTCTTATTATTATTCTTATTATTATTATTATTATTTTTCTTCTTCTTATTATTATTTTTCTTATTTTTCTTATTATTTTCTTCTTATTATTATTATTTTCTTCTTCTTCTTATTATTTTTTTCTTATTTTTCTTCTTATTATTTTTCTTATTATTTTCTTATTATTATTATTTTCTTATTCTTATTATTATTTTTCTTATTATTTTTCTTATTATTATTATTTTTCTTATTATTCTTATTATTATTTTTCTTATTATTTTATTATTATTATTTTTTTTTATTCTTATTATTATTATTATTTTTCTTATTATTATTTTTCTTCTTATTTTCTTCTTATTATTATTATTTTTCTTATTATTATTTTTTTTTCTTCTTCTTATTATTATTTTTTCTTCTTATTATTATTATTATTATTTTTTATTATTATTTTTTTATTATTATTATTATTTTCTTATTATTATTATTATTTTATTTTTATTATTATTATTTTTCTTCTTATTTTTTTTCTTCTTATTATTATTTTTCTTATTATTATTATCATTATTTTTCTTATCCTTCTTATTATTATTATTCACTCTCTCTTCCTCCTCCTTCTTATCCTACTTCTGCTCCTCTTCTCCATCTACTTTTCCTTTTCTTCTTCTCTCTCTCTTCCTCCTCTTCTTCTTATCCTACTTCTGATTCTCTTCTCCATCTACTTTTCTTCTTCTTGTTCTCTGTTATTTCCCTTCAGGATGTTGGTGATCATGGCTCTCTGTCCTTTGTAGCTCTTAATAAATTTTGACATTTTGTTTGTTTTTTTCTTCTACACCATTCATTTACTCAAGGGGACATTTCCCTAATCAACTATTATCTTACCCTCCCATCTGCATTAACTGCCTCTTAATCATTAACCCTATACTTCAAATACCCACTGGACCTTGTATAGGGTGAACCACACTTTTAAAAATAAAGCTCACTAGATTTTTCTCTTTCCCTTGAGCCTTCAACCTGTCCTGTAAGTATCTAATTTTTCAAGCCCTCTTTCCTTATAATAGAAATTTGTGTAATCTAAGATCATTCTGAAGTTAGACAGTATGGTGGCCAATCAGCCACATAGTGTAAATTTCTTCTTGTATACACCATGTCTTCAGGAAGTTGATAATCATGAATTTCACAATGTTTTGTCCTTTGTAGCTCTTAATAAATTTTGTCTTTGTTATATCTCCCACATCTTGTTTCACTGAGTAGGTTATACATTGTTTTCCTCTGTTCATCATGTCTTCAATTCATCCTGTGAGTATTAAATTTTCCGAGCCCTCTTTCCTCATCATAAATTTCAACTATCATTTCCTGATAGCAATTTTCTTTTTTGTTTGCATTTTCTCTAAAGTTTTGGCACCGCTCAGATGTTCAGCTCATGGTATTCTCAACAACCTTCTGGAGAACTACATTTTTGTGGCTTCAAGTCTGTTCTTCATCTGTGAAGAGACTGAATTATTGCCTTTTGTCTGAATTTCTAGAATGAGGCATTACCATTATTTACATATCAATTTTGGTTTCTGTTCATCTGATCTTATAAGAGATTTAATTTACGGCCCCTTTTATCCATAAAAATCACAATACTTTTTCCTTACACAGCATTTTGTCTTTCATTCTAACCTGAAAAACCTTATCTTTGTTGTCATTATCACATTGTTTCGGCAATTGTGCTCTCTAGCCTTCATCAGGTGATTGGTGATCTGGGTAACCTTCAGAAAATTTTGAACTGTATGCCAGTTTGTAATATATTGATCTCGTTCCACTGAAATCTTTCTAGGAGAATCTTATCTAGTTCTTAACTACTACTGCTTGGTTATTGCTTGCTCTGTTTCTTCTGAATCCAAAGTACACACCACCCAACCCTGGGATTGAATTCACAATTACATACTACATAATCACTACTAAATATGAACTAAATGAGATATCACGAGAAATGAACAATGGAATAAGAACAACCTACACCCATAGATTAAATAAAGGCTTCTATTCAAAATTCCATGATGATTACCCAGATAGACAGTCACCTAATGAAGGATGGGTGCCACAATCACTGAAATGTTATTGCTGTAACATACCTATGGATGATAATGGATATGTCTCCATTCACTTAAATACAATAGTAAATACTGTATGTTGGTCTGCATTTAGAGATTCGTTTCAAGCAGTGCTGGTCAAACTTTACCTCCGGGTAGAGATGATCACTAGATGAGGCTATGGCAAAGGGCAGAGTTTCGTCTCAGGAAACAGCTACCCAATCCTGTCTTACACAAGGTCTACAGGGAATTTTTAGCGAAGGCTACAGGCTTGGACACCCCACATTAAATTCGGCCTTGTGCCACATCTGACCATGTGGGGCAGTTGGTAGATATACTGCAGTTGGAGATTCATTGTGAAATTCACTTGACTCACTTCTAGCAGTTGACTACTTCTTCTACGTGCCACTGGTAAATCTTATATGTTTGCTCGTGTACTAATACTATCATTCATTACCAACCTTTGTATGATTATTCTATTCAGTAACCTTTCCTAGGTTACCACATTTATGATATCAACTACAAAGTTAAGGACAATAGCCCACAGGCAAATGATATATATAATGTCTTTATATTTGTCAGGTAACATTTTTTCCTCAACTTATCAGAAATTATTCTGAGCAGTGTCATAGCAAATACTCTCAGTGCCTGGGAGTGAATAAAATTTTAGTATCCCCATCTGAGTTACTTCTGAAAAGTTTTAATATATGGTTTGGGACTTATTACCATCTGAATGACAATAACAAAGAATCAATTTCCACATTACTCAGACCCAAAATAAGTCACAATATTATAAACATAAAATTATATTAATTGAATTAAGCCTCAGTACTAAGTTCACTTACATAATTTAGAAATTGTTTTGATATTCATGTCATCCAGTAATGTTATTTTTCAATATAAAACCTTGAGTGAATCAGTGCTGTGTCTCTGGTTCA